TTTATGTTGTTTGTCATAAAAAGGAATTATCACAGGGCAGAGCACAGGTGTAGACCCTTTGAGCCTGCTATTCAAGCTGGTCCCACAGATTGATAAGTTTGCAGTTCTCATCAGACCAGTGTCCATTCGGACAAACTTTTATGTGTATTAATGTGCACATGAGGCAAAGGCAGTTGCTATGGAACACTTTGGAAGCCAAAACCACAAAATTGGTGGGCAAGAGTCTAGCTCTTAAAAGCTGTTAGAGTGCTCGCTACCTAACCCCAAAATTGCTGGGTCAGAATAAGTTGATCAAGGAATGGATTAGATTGACACTAGGTCACCTGCCAAAACAAACTTCATGCATTGAGGTACACAAAAAAAACCCACAAAATCCCCAACTCTGTGACATATCCCTCTCAGGTATCACCGTGACTCCAAGACACCTAAAGCTTGGCCAACACTATTAATGTGCATATAAGAAAAAGCAGATGAGGTTTTCCCTTTCATCTTGCTCTATGTCCTAAGATGTTGGCTTTGTGACCAGTCAGAATAATGTCTCTGGTCTCTGCCATCTGGAGGATGCACTTACCACTTATCGAGGTACACCCCAGTTGCCCTTGGAATAGACTGGGGATCCAAGACACGTCTTTACAAGCAACACTCTCTTTGTTGGCCATGTGAACTCTAGGGGTTTGTCATAATGGATGCCAGCCCATAAGGGCCTTTGTTGTCCCAGACTTCATTGCTTGACAGTGCAGGAAAAATCCCATTCCAGTAACACCTGACCACTGTCAGAGATTTGCAGATCTGTGACTGGAGATGTCTCCCATTTGTGGGACATCAGAGACATAGTAGACACCACATAATTCTTAACCATCTGTGCAATGGAAGTCTTTGCATTCTTAAACTTTTCTTGGAGTAAAACTTAGGTCATGGGGGCTACATCATCTATGCCCTCTTTGGACACCTCTTGCATCCATGGTAAAGCCTGAAAAGTTGCCTCTGGGTCTTTCCACAGAGAGGCTTATTGGATTGTATAGGAACAATTGTGTTGCTACTGGAAAAACAATATACTAATGCTGATCCCACTTGGCAGTGGCCAGATGGTGGATCTTTTGAATAGGAAAAACTTCTATATTTGGAAAATTTTTTAGGCAGTTCTCATTCTAAGCAGCTTCTTTATTGGTATTTATGGGAGGATCAGTTTGTAAATCGCTTGGATTCTTAACTTCTGCAAGTACAAGTACTCCTGTTGCTAATGGGCATGTAATTGCTGCCCTGTTCCACTCCTTTCTAAAGTTGCCGGTGCTCACTGTTCAGCCCATACAGATGAAACTGCCATTGTATCTTTAGGAAATGGTAGGGCTGACAGCTGCCCAATACACAGTCCCACATGAACCCCCTTATCCTTTCTCCACCCAGTTTCTAACCCGACCTATATTCCTCACTGATATTAACTATCAGGCAAATGCCCAAATCTGAAAAGGACACTTGGACACAAGAGTGCCAAACAATTATTAGATGGATTATGTGTTAGGCCAAATGAGCTTCCTCTATCCCCTTTTCTTTTAACCTTTTGGCTTGCACTTATCTCCCACCAAATGGGACATAGGTGCAAACAGAATAATGAAAGAAATAAGACAATTGGTTTTGCCCTGACATCCACAAATTATTTCCAAGTGCACTACTTATAAACTTCACCAACTCTCTGGAAGAAATCGGTGTGCCCCGGGAAGATCTCCTAGACCCATGCTGGATTTTATAGATTTGCCCCCAGATTTGGTCTGTTCTCACTGGTTGATCATTGTCTGCATGTTTAGTAGATGGAGAGTGGTATCCAACTGGACATGCTGATGCCACAACAGTTGTAAAGAAATTAATAACTGAGATTATTCCTTATTTTGGCATTCCTTCAGTGACTGAGTTAGACCAAGGAACTCACTTTACAGCAGAGATAAACCACGGAGTTGCAAAAACTCTGGGCACTCATTAAATCACATACCTCATATCATCCTCAATCAGAGCAAGTGGAACTTAAAAATATTTACATAAAAAAGACCTTAGAGAAGATTAGTCAAAAATTGGACTTAAATGGCCAGAAGCATCGCCCTTTGCCCTTATTAATACTCCGAAAGGAGGCATGGATTGACCCCTTTTGAAATAGTGTTTGGTGGTCCAATATCTACTTGCACCTCTGAACTTTTCATTCAGGGATGAAGTGAGAAATTTTATGATATGACTAACTATATAAGGATTAACTTGTTTACTTGAAGCATACCATCAACAGGTAAAAGAGGCATTGCCTCCACCAACTGATGGGTACTTTCAACAAGGGAAGTGTCTACAACAAGGTCTTTAGAATAAAAGACATGCTGGTACCTTGTTGGGAAAGGCTCTATGAGGTGTTAATGACAACCTACGTGCCATCAGAATATAAAAGAAATCCTGCTGGATTCATGCAAACTGTACCAAATAGACCCAGATCAACACCTGCAAGGCAACTGGGAGACCATGTCCTACAGGTGACCTGAAAATAGGGCCAAGTCCCAGGTCCCAGAAGCAACATCACAATGATGTAGACAGTTTTTCCTAAAAGCACTGATAAAGAAACTACTCTTTTACCTACCCCCTCCTTTTTTTAAACTCCTGGACTTATATATTTTTTAATACTAAAAAACTATATGTATATACTTTTTAATCCTTTCTCCTATTTTAAAGATTATTTGTTGGGAGGCTGACTGAGGAGTGCTTGTCTATCCTACTTCCTCTCTTTAAGTCTCCACTATAGGGTCCTTTCCAATCTGTGTCTTGCTCTTACTAACCCTCTGTTTTTCAATAGGTCAGGCACGGACGAAACACTTCCTTATGCCAGTTGACCAAACCCTGCCACATTAACAAATCAGTCTGACTGTTGGCTATGTCAACATCTAGCTAATGGAAAAGAACCTGAGCTAGTCTTTGCTCCTGCAGATGTGACCCCCTGGTTGCCTGAGCATGGAAGATGGACAGATGACAAGGTATGGTATTCACAACCAGAAGAACATCATTCTGCTTCTTTCCCTGGTGAGCTACTTGGGCTCCAGAAAATCTCTACAGAATCTCAAGGACTATCTCTTGTCAGAGTAAAGGCAATAGCTGAAAAATTTCCCCTTTGCATTGAAAACAGACTTGTCACTGGACTTTTCCTGGGAGATACACCAAAACTTTATTGCAACCAAATCCTGTGGTTTGATACTAAAAATAGCATTTTTAAACTTAGCAAGGAAATTAAAAATAACTCTAGCATAGACATTTGCCAAATCACCAATGTTTTATACATCAACCCTGTACAATACAGGATACCTCAGCTACCCCCTTGTTAGACTACCCAATTCCACAAACTATATTTGAGTCCATCAAAACTCTGGATGCACTTGGCTAGGTGACAAAACTAAATTTATCGCTGCCAGAACTAAACTGCAGGCCTCCTACATCACCTTTTTAGCAACTGTTCTGCTCTCATAGATTGACAGGATGTGAAAAATGGAGATGTGTGGATATTCACATTATCAAAGGTCACAGAACACTCCACATTTTGAAAGTTATAGGTTCAGATCTAACTTTGTCATAAACCACACTGGTCTCTTTATGTTATGTGGCAATAAGGTCTACAAAGTTTTCCCAATGGTCAGGATGATGTGGACTTGGGTACCTGGATCTTTTTGTCACTAAGTACTCCACCCTAAATGCCAGGCAAATTATAAACTTGGGCTTCTTTGTTCATAAAATTGTGCTACATAAACATGCCCATTGTAGAAAATCCACTGTTATATCATTATTCCAAGTTCTTTTCAGCATTGAGGGTCTTATTCCCAAATTTTGGAGATTATAAATTAGAAAAAGCAATCCTAGAACTCTCTATGGTGATGTAACAAGAGTTCAGTATCACTATGCAAACTTTGAAAATACTCCAATCAGAACTTAGCAGCGTAGCCTCTGTGGTACTCCAAAGTCATCGTGCTCTGGGCCCATGGACTGCCCTGCACAGAGGAACCTGGGCGACATCAGTGGACAGTGTTGCTTCTCTATAAACCCAACAGGACAGATTAATCTCACCTGAATCTGCTAAAAGAAAGGATTCATGTTCTTCATTAGACAGATGAAGCACAGACTTTCTGCTGGACCCATCTATTTCCAGGTTGAGGGTATGCTTCCATTTGTTCTTCTCTGTTCATTAATCTTCATTCTAAACTGTGGTCTGTCTGCTGTTTGTAGATCTCTTACCTCATTTACTGCCCTGCTTTCTCCATCCCCAGTCACCAGCTTGGCTTTAATTTGTGAAACTTGCAGGGAAGTGTCAGAGGATGGGACTGTGGAGGCCCAGGGTAGGCCGCCCCGACATGTGCCACAATGGCATAATGATTACTTCCAATTAAAGCTACTTCAGAGACAACCTGTGCAAGAAGGACACTCAGACCTTCCTCCGCCCCTCTGAGAGAAGGAATACATCTCCCATGTCAAAGGTACCCTCCCTGTAGCAGGAGTGAAGGAGATACCCTTATCACCAGAGGTGGGAAATTTCTCACCAGAGGTGGGAAATTTAGGGCAGAGGAGGCCGTATGATAACCCTTGTTACTTTTTACTAATTTACCACCCCGGACCAAAATCTGTTTAGAATCCCTTACGAATTGAAGCTCCCAACATTAAGCATTCTTTGTCCTGTCAATGCCTCACAGATTTATTATCTCTGTGTCTGAAAAGTATAAAACTGCCTGCCTTGGTCACTTCCTTGGGCCTCAATTTCATTATTGGGCCTCTGTGCACGCTTAATAAAACTTGGGCTTTTTCTCTTGTTAATCTGTCTCGTGTTGATTGAATTATTAGTCCAACTGGAAGAACTTGAAAGTAGAGAATTTTTGCATCCCTTCAAAAACAAGCAATGCTGCTTCAGGGATGACAAGAGGAGACAGAGCTGAGATCATACATGCTCATCTCTCCCAGCACAGTTATAAGCAAGAGAAAAGCAAGCTAGAACAAGATGATGAGTAGATTATTTTATTGTTTTGCTTCAGGTAGGGGACTACCAAAGAAATCATCTGTGGAATGGCATAGGAATCATTATCTGGGGTTCCCAGGGCAGGCAGGCTGCAGACATGGGATCAGAGTTCAGAAAATGAGTGTTTAAGAAGGCACAGATTTCTGGATTCCAGGTAAGAAGATTCTTGAGAACATGATTTGAAGTCTTCACTGAAATGTCTCAGCAGTGCAGGCAGACCCAAGAAAGATGACCTTGCTCCTTTCTGCCTCTATTTCTGCTCTTCTTGGCTCAGAATCCACTTCAGCAGCAGCCTCCAGATGACTGACTGCTCCCTCCACAGCAGCTGGAGCCCCCCAAGGGCTGGCTGCAGCAGTCAGAGCTCTGGTGCCTGTGGCGGTGGGATCTGCGTTGCCTGTGGTGGCTCAGACAGCAGCCACCACCCCCAGAGCTACAACAGCCCCCGCCCCCAGAGCTACAGCAGCCTCCACCCCCAGAGCTGGAGCCACAGCAGGAAGAGACTGGAGGGCACTTTGGGGGACACTTGGGGGGGCACTTGGGGGCAGGACACTTGGGGGGGCATTTGGGAGGGGGCTGGCACTGCTGCTGGTTCTGCTGGCAGGACATCTCTGCAGGCAGGGTCAGGAGCTGAGGGAGAGTCACACAGTCAGACCCAGGACACAGAACCCAGAGCCCCCCACCCCACCCCTTCCTGTTTTCAGTATCATTTCTAGCGCCTTATTTTGAAAGTCTTGAGATCAGACATAAAATCATCTCTGACATTTTTATCACTCTTACTGGTGTACCACGTGTCTTCTTTCACACAGTCACATTTCAAACCCCATTTGTCAACAATGTCACCTCCAAATATATAAAGAAAGTTGATGCTCATTACCACTTCCTTGGTGTCAGAGAAAAAGACATGAAATAAATTGACCCCAGGCCAGCATTCATTTTCCCGTGTCACCAAGAATCTTGCAAACATCCAGTTTAGGGACCATTTTAGCACAGAAAGCCTCTTCAAGGAAAAAGCAAAAACATTCTCTCTTGGAAGGATTTCTGATATGTTTTTGGTTTTGCAGAATATAGAAAATCACAACTGCAAAGGGCCTTGGAGTTAATTTGTCCCAACCGACTCAATTTATAAATGAAGAAACTGAAAGGAAAAGAGGCAAATCCACTATCCCAGTGCTATTCACTAGCTTGTCACAGTTCCATTCTCAGACTCCTCGACTCCCAACCCAGTGCTCTAATCCATGTAGTCCCCCTCCCACGGCCTGTTTTCCAGGAACATCCCAGGGCTTCTCAGCTCCAGTGTGCCCTCAATTCTGAAGAATTCTTGTTGGAGTCTAAACAGATCCACAGGTGTCTCTGATTCTCTCTTCTCTTAAGTACCAACATCCTCAACACACTGTTCCTGCACTTGGGCCCAGCTGTATTTCCAAAACTATATTCCCACTATGTAACCCACTCTAGCATAATCTAGCCATCAATGTTTTTATTTCCTAACACCAGAGAAACACACCCAGCTACTGCTGTCTCTAAAACTCTAGCGTATAGCACACAAATCTTCCCAGTTGCTTTCGGTCTTTCTCACCCATCCCACCCTGGCCCTCCTGATTCAGATTTTCTGGGTCCTCATCCTTGTCCTTCAAACCAGAGCCCAAGCCTCTGTCCCCTGCTCTGTCTGAGCTCCCTCTGTAGAAGGCTCTGCTCTCTTTCCCAGGGGCACTTACCGGTGCACAGGCAGCACTGGGTCTGTCAGTACCTCAGGAGAGGAGTGCATGGAGGGGCTCTGTTCCCAAGTCCCTTTTATCCTGGCCTTGGGCTCTGCCCCAGCCTGTGAGACAGGACCTGGAGATGACAGGACCGCCTCCTGCCACCCACATGGTCCTGTGACAGGTGATGAGTGGCAGCTCCTCCCTGCCTCCCTCTAGGGACTCAGGGTAGCTCCTCCCAGCTAGGAAAGTACCTGTTTCCAATGGGGACTGTGGTAGGTAGAAATGGACATACTCATTTCTGGAGTCCTCTGCTGCCTTTTTTCTATGGAAAGATTTTCTATTCATGCTTAAGGACCTGGTCACACAGCCTCTCCTTTCTTTCCACCTTAGATAGTAATTTTCTATCCAGACCTTTGTGGTTGGGTTTTTTAATGTTTTTATTATAATTTCAGTTAATTAACAGTGTTATATTAGTTTGAGGTGTACCATATAGTGATTTAACACTTCCATACAACACCCACTGCTCCTTACAGCAAGTGCACTCCTTAAATCCCATCACCTATTTCACCCATTCCTCCCTTCGCCCACCATCAGTTTGTTCTCAATAGTTGAGTCTGTTTCTTGGTTTGTTTGTCTCTCTCTTCTTTTTTTTTCTTCCCCTTTGCTTGTTTGTTTTGTTTCTTAAATTCCACATATGAGTGAAATCATATGGTTCCATTTGGACCTTTGGATCTACATGGCTTGTGTGAAAATCTACAGGTCTAAGTTGGCAGGCGGGGGGGGGGGGTATGTTTACTGTATAGCATAATGGTTGAGAAAAGAGGCTTTAGGGACCTCACCAGAGTATTCAACTTCTTTGAACCTCACAGCTGGTGGGGAGGGGGTTGTGTTTGATACTGTCATCTACTGGGTAGAAGCCAGAGGTGCTAGTTAACACCCTACAATGTGCTCCCATGACAGAGAATTATTCCAACCAAAATGTCACTAGTGGTAAGGGCAGGAAACCCTGCTTTACTGCAGGAGATTCAGACTCTACTCACTGGAAACACCTCCAGGATTTCTGACTGAACAAAACAAACCTCTAAAGAATGTGATGAGATGCTGTGGAAAGAAATGATTAGTTAACTGATTGCCCAATCCAGCTTTCTTATCCAGGCTGGCTCCAGTCACAAGGCCTTTCTGTGACGAAGGGCCTAACCTCCACTCAATCCTTAAAAGTATTTCTGATTAATTGAGAGCTTCCCCTCCCTGGCACTTCCTCTTCTCCTGGCTGACCCAAGGAACCATGCTGCTGGCAAACTGGCGGGGTGGCATCAACACAGTGATGACCATTTGTGATAGCGCCTCATCTCACTACCCTGGAAGCCAACATTGGCCCTGACATCTGAGCAAACTGTCCCCAAATCCCTTCCTCCTAGAGTGTCCCACCTGAGCCTTTCCCACCACCCATCACTCCAACCTGCTCCCATCTGTCCTCCAGCATCCCTTCAGTCCTCAATCCTGCTCCTCTGTGCCTTCCCTGGCTTGCCCCAGCTGACCACTTCCCCACTTTCATTCATGTTTGTGCTCTCCCTCTGCCTGTCCACCCAACCAGCCTTTGCTTGGACCTGGACTTAGCCTGGCTTTGCAACCAACCTCATCTGATAGGCCGATTGTCATCTCTTCCCTGTACTTCTCTCCTTAGGGGTGACATCTCACTGCTAAAGGCAATGTATTTGTAGTGCTTTGTAGTATACAAGGTATATATAACTTAAATGATGTATTTAATCCTCAGAGTGACACAAGCGTATTTTTCTTTTAGCCACATTTTATAAATGAAGGAACCTTGTGTCAGGGAAACTGCCAAAGCTAAGACCTCTCTACTAGTAAGTGGTGGAGCTGGGGTCCAAATCCTGTCTCAGAATGCCTCTCCTATGCCCTTTCTATTCCTGTGTACTGGCTCACAGTTGCACACCTCCTGGGGCCTTTTTTTCCACATATTGAGCTCAGTTCCCCTCCCTTTCTTACACTGTCTGGGATGCCCACCAAAACATCTCCATTGCTGAATTTGTTCTTATCTCCAGAGCTGTTTGTATATTTTAATATGTTGTATATATTTTTAAAACATGTCCATTTTTATTGTGTTTTCATCTGCTAGAATATCAGTTCCTTGAGAATAAGCATTTTTATTTCATTCACCAATGTGTCCCAAGCACCCAGAATAATGCCTGGCACACAGTAAAAACTCAGTATTTGAATAAATGTTTATTGAATATGAGAGTAACAGTGTGTTCCATTTCTACACAGTTGTGACAATCAAATTATCCTCTTTATTTCTAGCCAGAAATGGTTTCCATCCATTGGATTTAAGCTCTTGAGTTCTACTGTTCCTGAAATAAAGCCTTATAAATAAAAGAAAGCAACATGCTACTCCTTTTAAGGGGTGCCTGGGTGGCTCAGTCAGTTGAGTGGCTAACTTTAGCTCAGGTCATAATCTCATGATTTATGAGTTTGAGCCCCACATGGGGCTCTGTTCTGGCAATGCAGAAACTGCTCCCCCCTCCCCCGCCGCCCCGTCCCTCTCCTACTTGCTCGCTTGCACATGAACTCTCCTCTCTCAAAATAAATAAACTTTAACAAACAAACAAACATTATTCTTCTTTCCACAGTAAGGGAGACCAAGTTTTGGAGCAAGATAAGCCTGGGCTTGGCTTCTAGCATTATTAGATCTTAGATGTGTGACCAAATTAGTTAACCTCACTAGATTTGTGTGTGTGTGTGTGTATGTGTGTGAGTGTGTGAGTGTGTGTATGTGTGTGTGTGACACTGTTTATAAATTGGAGGGAATAATAATATCTTTTCAAGTTGTGAGTATAAGGAAGGATGTAAGTTTCCTGTCTCCAGTGGTGTCTGACACATAGTGGAATGACACATCATCCTCCAGCCTCACTCCCATTTGTGCACTATCTGCACCACTGTCTGGACCAAGCACAGCAACACTATCATGACTAATAATGAAGAACAAGAGCTCAATCACCATGTGCCGCACTCGCCCCATGCTAAGATTTTAATCAACCAAACTTCTCTGTATGTGTGGTTCTCCATGCATCCACTCATCTACAAGTAGAGGAGATCCTTAACTTAAACTCAGAACTTCACATTTATCTTAATTACATTTTATCTTGTCAGATTAGGTCCATTATTCTAACCCATGTTAAATAGGACTCTGTTCTTCAATCCTCCCTCATAACTTGAAGTCACTTGAAATTTAGGTCAGCTTCCTCTCAAGTTTTTTTTCTAAAATATTGATAAGAAGTTTATTAGAGCAGGGTAAGGATGGAGTCCTGGCACCATACCTGGTTAGGAACCAGGAAAGATGCTCAAGTAAGGAGGAAATACTCCTCTCTGGGTTATCTGTCATGGTGTCAGTTTAATGACAGTATACCTGTTGTTATCTCTTCCTGGAACACTCTCCTCCTTACTCCATTCATCAGATAACTCCCACTGAGGGAGTAGGTACCTCCTCTAAGGACTTGAGTCACTTAACTGCCTCTTCTATAGGTTTCCATGGTGCCCTGTGCCTCACATGTTGAAGCTCTCATAAGCTCTATTGCCTCTCAAACTCCTTGTGGGCAAGACAGTGTCTGCCTTGCTCACCATTGTATTTCCAAAACCCAGCACAGTTCCTGACAGATAGCTAGGTCTCAATTAATGTTTGTCAGATGAATGGATATGTTGATACAAGTTGGTAAGTGGTTTTCTTTCTGACAGATATAACATTTGAGAATAGAGGAAAGGTATTAACACAACTCAGGGTTCCTATGACAAGATGTGAGGATAATGATGGGTGGGTTTAGCATAGCTTGGGTAATTCCTAGGTTTCTAGATACTTCTAGATTTGTCTTCCAGGTCAGGAAGCTTCATATTTTGGAGGAATGAGTTTGATGGTCCCTGGTGGTGGGGAAGCACATTGATCACAGGCATCACCCTCTCTTCCTAACTAGTTTCAAGCCATGGGCATGTGGATCTTCTGGGATGTCCCATCAGGCCAGAAATCAGGAGTATGTTATAGCCAGGGACCAAGTCTTGTTCACCACCTGGATATTCTTCTATATGTTATGAGCATTGCCTGTCTTCTGATTACTACTATCTACCTATCCACTCCATTATAAAGAGCTGAGCTATTCCCTTATTCATAACACTTCTATTTGTTTATTCATCCAGGACTATTCTAGTCTGCAGGACAAACTATGGAATGTGGAATTTCTCCCTCTTAATGCTTAGGTAATGCCTAGGTAAAGGAGAAATATACCAAATATACCTTCTCCTAGTATAGTATCTGTAACATATATCAGACAACCCCGCTACTTCAGCCATGCTCAAGAGCCCCATTCTGGGTATTTTAGGTGCCAGTGTTTGGGGATTTAATTGAGAGAAAATAAGAGACTGCTTGGTCTTGTAGTGCCCCTAGACTGAGGAGTAGAATATTTGACTCTCACATAGAGTAATTACATAAAACTTCTCACAAAAACCAGTTTGTATTCAGCCCCATTTTTGCCACCATGTCCACCTCCTCCTCATGCTGTGGCCAGATGTGTGCAATTTTCAACTCTCCTTGTAGATATTGGGTAGCTCATACCCCTAGGTATTCACTATAGCAATGGTTTCTATCTCCAGCTGATCAGAATAAGTTTCAAATTGAGGTCCCAGATTCTTCCTCTATAAATTCAATTTAAGTTGGTCTGGGATGAATCCTGGGGCTCTTTAAGTGTCTTTAAGTGGGTTCCCAGGTCATTCCACATTGCCTAGTATCTGTGGCAGAGAGGAACTGTGGCTAACCCACCTTGTCTGGAAGGAACTTCTGAGAATATCTAGTGCAATCCCTCATTCTGCAAGACACTAATCCCAGGGAAGGAGGCTTAGAAAAAAGGAAAGGATAGAGAATTGCAGACATATATAAGCAGGATTCCAGGGTGGGAGGCATGGTCTTTAGACCCAATCTCTCTTACATTCACTCAGACTAACTAGCCCCTCATCTCTGGAAGCTGGGCCCTGTTACTGGATGTCAAGGAGTCTGGCCGACCTCTGTCTCACTGTGACCGCCCAATGCATTGGCATTTCTGGGCAATGGTGCCAAACTGAACTGGAAACAATGCTATAGAGCATGT